TAAAAGACGTGTAGATGAGGCGCTTAGGGACATGGTTTAGTGGGCATGGTGGTGTTGGGTTGACGGTTGGACTCGATGATCTTAGAGGTCTCTTCCAACCTTAATGATTCTATGACTTCAGAGTAGGCATATTAAATCTACTATACCAGAAGGAATTACACAAGCTAATACAAGGATTCAGCATTGCGTCTACCTCTGCCCTTTTTATTCTCAGAGGGCATAAATTTCAAGTTCACAACAGCAAATTTTCTACAATAGCTTTTAATTATGCACACATTTGTAGATTAAGTGGTAAACATTTTATCCAAGAAGGAAAAAAAAATTCTTGACGTTGCCCACATCTAACACTTACAACTTAGTAAGGTAGAATTAGGTCTTTACACAAGAAGAACTAACCCCACAAACTGATTTTACACATGCAAGAAGCCCAACCGAGTAGAAAGGGTCTGCAGTTTGCATGGATACTCTTTCATGCCTATTAGCAGATCAAGGCTTCCGGCCCTCTACTTTGAGAAGATTTCTATCAACTTTCGCATGAATAAGAACACAAAAATAGCAAGCTCAAATTCTTTAAAATAGTCTTTCCTGTTACGCATTTCTTTCTTCTACTGTGTGGCTGTAAGTTTTCACTCCCCAATGGCTCCAGAAAATTCCTAACACTCAAAATGTGGCAGCTCAGAAACACAGGTATTGCTTCAAACTCAAACTAACAATCATGAGTGTGACAGTCTGAACCCTTAAAACATAAATCCACTTTTCATCATTCACAATTTATCACACAAGTATTTTTACATACATTTATATGTTTAAAGGTCTCATTTCACATGGGACTGTTCTGCTGAAAATTAAGTTATCATTACTTATTAAACCAGCATAATTGATTAAAATTAATTTCTTAGAAATGGGATTAATTGATCAAAGAAACCAGTCTCTTTTTCCTCAAGAAAATGCTAGCAATGCCTCGGTATTTTGGCTAGTTCTACTATATGAGCCAGGATCTGTAATAAGAATAAAAAAATAGAATTGCTTATTAAATCCTGAACAATCTGGAAGAAGCCTTATTGTGGGGAAAAAAGTATGCTATTAGCATATTTATATTTCTACACAGCTTGAAAATGTGTTGCAAACACGCAACAGATGGTCTGACGTTATTTGATGTGTTTACGTTTTTTTAAATCATCTGCAGCCCCATCCTCTCTAAGAAAGACAGCTTAGCTGGGATTTGCCTGCAATTTATCAGTGAATTTAGATTCCATTTGCTACAGTCATAACAGCAGCTGCCTTGGCCCACCACCAGGCCTCGGTCACTTCCAAAACCATTATGTAAGCCCTACACCTAGCAGTACCATACTTCAAATGGTAAGAATATTTTATTAAGATGTACTTAAGAGGTTATAAAAACCAGGAAGATATCCTTAATTAATATTTAAAAGCTACAAATTACCACTGAAACATTTTTTTGCCTCTGGCTAAGAATTTTATTGCAAAAACCTGTGATATATTATGCAGATGGTAAATTGTAGTACTTCAGACACTGTAATATTTTAATGAACTATTAACCCATACATTAAAGGAACTACTGGGAACAAGAATTGCTAAAAGAATGTTATTTATTGTTTTTAAGAGAAGGAAGTGAAAGCAGAGATCGCTATTTCTAAAAGTGATTCAGCATACTATTTGCTAAAGTTTAGACATATTTTATATAAAAGTATGCAGAAGTTCTAGAAGAAACATATGAACTACATACTCTTAATGAAGCCTCCAATCAGCTTAACAGTACCGACTTCATGTTCAGACTATGCCTGTACTTGCACTGATAAAGCTCAAAGATGAACCATACCATTGCACTTGTTGGATCCTGGAATGCTCTAGCTGCACCATCCTGCTGGGGCTCACGTGAAGCAGCAGAGTGGTTCAATCCTGACGTGTTTGAGGGTCCAACATCAGACTTCCTGGATGAATGGACTTCTGCCTACAAGGAGTACATATGTACGCTTCAAAGACAAGATCAAAATTGCTCCAAAAAGATTTGGCTTATTTTGGAATGTGTATTTTAATGTATGGAGAATATGAAACTTACTGAAATGTAATAATCAAGTACGCCAACTGCATTTCAATTACACACCAACAGGTTTAATAAATTCTCATACTTTAGAAATAAGACTATAGATGTACAAACATCAGTTTAAAAAAAAATTTTAAGTTTGTTTGCACATAACAGGTGTAACATTCAAAAAACGCACAGATGTATAGAACAAAAAAGAAAATTCTTTAGAAGATCCAGGACAACATTATGCCAGAAATAACACCATTTTTTAAAACTTCTGTTTCTCATGTCCTTAAGTGAATGCTGACTACTGTTGTTACAAGTGAACTAATATAGCCTGTTTCTCAGCAGGGCTAACTAGCCTCCGGTAAGTGCTAATTTAATGTGGCTATACTGGTTCTAGTACTGAAGTTGCCTCACAGCCAGAGTGGGTGTATATGCATGGCACTACACCGTGTCAGGCACGCATACCTCAGTTTCCAGTATTTAATTTTCAGCACAAGCAGAGCAAAAGAAAAAATACAAGTCTTATAATACCACTTTTGTACGCATTTATAAAATGTCTAATAAGCATCAACTCCCAGAATTTAGGTTTCATGCTTTTGGAAATTTGAGATGAGATCAGTAGTGACACGTAGAAGATCATGAACAAACCTCTTGTTAAAACAGTATATATGCCTGCAATAATCCCTCAGGAATGGAAAAGGACATCATAGTTCTGAACTGAAACACTTTAAAATTTATACATATTAAAAAAAAAAGTCACAGCCGGATCAATTTTTACCAGCAAGCAAGTCACCTCCCAAGCCATGTATCTAGATCTCAATTCTGTAATAAAGATGACAATTCCAAATCTAATACCTGTCTTCAAATGCAGATATAAGTAGTGGTAGTAGTAGTAGTAGTAAGAAATACAAACAGTGTATTAGAAACCAATCAGTTATGGTGATAACAAGCTGGTAAGATCACAAGATAGTAATAGTCTTTCATGATACTATTTTGCGTGAGGAAATTAAATTCCCTGTTTCTTGATGTATATTATTTCGGAGAATCTGAAAAATATGTCACTGAAACAACCTGAAGATGAATTTAAGATTTAAAAACACTTATAATCTGACAACACTGCTTTCCTTTTGCACTTGACTACTATGAACTCGAATATTAGATAGAACAAGTTATGACTCAAATATGGACCAGCAAAGCAACACAGGATTATGAATAACTTAGGCTGGGATTGACCTCTAGATGTCACCTGGTCCAACTCCCTCCTCAAAGTAGTCATGTTCAGTCAAGTTTTGAGCATCTCCAAAGCTGGAGATTCCACAGCCTCTCTGGGTATGGAGAGCTGCTGCATTTGACATTCCTGCAGGGTGAATTTTCCTTTCCTATATCCAGTTGTAAGTTCCTTCCCTGGAACCTGTGACCACTGCTTTTCATACTTCTGCTTTTTCCAAGAAGAGCTCATTTCATCTTTACTGTTAATCTGTATTTTATACTATAAAGCACATACACTACAAAATGTGCATTTATTTTCGTTTATCAAAGTACTAAGTCTATTATGCTAGACTGAAGTCAGACTAATATTCAAAAAAATGAAGCACTTGAAAGTTCCCAAAAGTGAAATATCTTTTTTTGTCACCTAGTCTCTCTTTTCTCCAGCCCTTACCTCTGCTTCCAGAAAAGCTGGAGAGAACACAGACATCAAGGAAAGATCAACATATTTAAATGTAATAATGAGGGTGAATGAAGAATTAATTTTACTGCAAAATGTGCCTTTAGTTGGCAACATGTAGATAAACCATATTGTTTTACAGTAATGCATATGCTATTAGTCTTCTATCTTTTCTTTTTTTCTTTTAAGTGGAATGGAATTTATGGTATATAGCACCTAAAATACACAAAACAATTTGCAAGTCAATGTAAAGCCGATGAAAAAAAGTCATTTTCTATTAAAACAGACGGGAACAAAGGTGGAGGCTCACAGAAGCAGGAAAACTGTAATGAGGAAATGTGGTTTGTTATTTTTTTCTCCTGAATTTCATGTTCTTTTCTCAATACCACACATGGGTTGTTTTTTTTTTTTTAAAAGTTACCATTTTGCTTAAGACTGGTATGAAATAATTTCTCATAATCCCAGGATCATCTAGAAAAAGTTAGAAAATCTCTTCTTTAAGAGAAGCAGAGATTGCTGGTATGTTTGCTAGTAGAGAGGCTCTCTCAAATTATACACTCAATCAGCAATCTGATGTTAAATCTTACCCCATAAATTGACATGGAATATATCAAAATGATTAAGAACTTTTGTATTCCCTGCTAGTAATTCATACTATTAGTTTACTACAAACACATCAATTGAATGCCTCAGCCTAACGCCAATCAATCAAACAGTAATAAAGTCAAGCAAAGCAGAGAAGCAGGAAGCTTAAAAAACCCCAATCCCTAAAATTTGATTTGAGAAAGGCAGGGAAGGCGCAACCAGAGGACAGAACTGATTTACCTTTTAAAAAGCCCATAATGGATTGTAAAAGGCTGTAGAAACCTGAGGCTTTTGTTCATTTTTCCCTTGCTGAGTGCTTGTTCTTAGGAGGTGGAGTTAAGTACGTGGATACATGGAACGCACCAATATTCTTTAGAGATTGATGTCCCTAAGTCTTTCATTTTAAAACTAAAAAAGGCATGAAATGTAAGTTAAGAGTTCTTTCTAAAAAAAAATACTCTGATATTTCTAGAATTTCTGTGATGAAGATTAGCAGTTCTTGAGTAAAAATTAATCCTACACTTTTTAACCCTTATATATTGTAAAAAAGCCAGGAGCAGGCAGTCCATTGCTTCTCCGAGTAGCTCAACTTTAAAACTCTGTCCCTGTATCTCAAAATATTTTACAAAGATGAGGAGATGTTTTTATTGTAAGTGTTATTACACACAGACCCAACCATATCAATATGTCTAGATGTGAGATCGCACAGGAATATGCAGGTCCTGCAAAACTGACGGTAATGCTCAGTAGGAGGCAATCTTTACTTTCATGGCACACAAAAAAATAGTAGTCTTTAAGACAGCGTTAGGAGAACATTGGTGATAAAAGGGGACGTATTAGCATCCCTGACCTTAGTGAGGATGTATTCTGCACCAATGCCACATTGTCATAATATATGTCACTGTAGTTCCCTGCCCTCATGCACAGCAGTCTTCCTTAGTGGCCGATTTAAGAGTTTAGTGGAAAACCCAGTGAAAAACGACCCTGTGCATGCAAGACATGCAATTTTCTAAGGCACGTATTTGGCTAAACAAACCTTACTTTCACTGAAACACAAGCTAGAGAACACATTTTTGGGTAACAGTAACTTCCATACCAGAGCTCAACTTTCAGTATCTTCAGCTGCAGAGTAGTTCAAAAGAATTTGCAACCATTTTTCAGTAGGAATATGTTTTACTCCTTCCATAAGCCAAAAGGAGGGGAGGAAAAAAAAAAGAGAATCACAAAGGAAAAAAAAATTTAGGTTAGCTTTGCCCAAACTTTCCTAACACTTTTATAATAAGACTAATTCTGGGGAATTTAATCAAGTTATTAGTGACTGAAAACATAGAAGTAAAAGCAACATAGTTAGGCAGTTCTTACCATAGTGCTCACCACTGAAATTAAAACTAATCAATCAGTGCTTGAGATGCACAATTTATTAATTGGCACATTGCAAGAGATCCACTCCTACTTTCCTTTTACAGGCTGTCCTAAAAAAACAGGTTTCCACATAGTGATTAATGAAGGTTTATTAAATGATTAATGTTTCTGCAATTTACAAGTTTTTCCTCAGTAATTTTTTTTTTTTTAAGTTCTATACAACAGAGATAAAAATTTAAACAGTGACTTCACCTTGAAGCTAATTTGTCTGGCAAGTTCTTTAGCCTCCTTGTCCGCCTGGCTTGACACGCTTCCAGATGTTAGTGGTAAGAGGGCTGTCTTCATAGATGTGCCACACATTTCACAACAGAAGTCTTGTGACCTGGCCACAAATGACATAGCTCAGAATAGCATGTTCTCATAAAGTTCTTGTGTGCTTGTTTAAACAAGCTATTTGCAAAACAATCCAAGAAAGACAAGTGGTGTCAAGACCAGTAACTTAAAAGTACTTCCCCCCGCCCTAAATCACACTATCTTGAAAAAATATGTTGAGAATTATCTCTACTACAAATACATATTTTTCTCTCATGTCATTTAGGAAAATATTAACAACTGACTTACATATTGCTATTATCTATACCTTATTAATAATTTGTTACCATTTAAAAACTTACTTTATATCTGCAAATTAAAATTGTAAATTATAAAGATCTAACTACTATTACAAATATTAAATTGGACCTAGGAGCTTGCATCTCAAATCCAGGAATTTCAGCTTCTGCAAGAGCATTACCTTTCCTCTCTTGCACACATAATTTGTCTATAGGGCACACTGCAGGGAGCTCTCCAAGCCAACGAGAAACCACACAGCCTTGATAGTACAGTATCAAGACCAACCCACTAAACCCTACCTCTCAGCAGGGTTTATTAGCTTTGACTCAGTGCCATGCTAACAGGAAAGTTGCAGCTTCCGATTGGCTCAGAGTACAGGCAGAATAAGCTCACATCTGCCTGCAAAATAAAGTACTAGTTACAATTTGGAATACAGTAACTTTGCTTATAAGATAGGGATACGGTCTTTCAAGTACCTTCTCCTTCCCAGATGGGGAAAGGAGAAAGTCCATAAAAACCCCACAGGTATAAGATTTCATTTAAGGATAATCACAGAGTAGTTGAGGTTGGGAGGGACCTCTGGAGATCATTTAGTCCAGTCTCCTTGCTCAAAGCAGGGTCAAGCAGACCATGTTGCTCAGGTCTGATTCCATTCACATTTTTAATACCTCCAAGGATAGAGACTCCACCACCTCTTTGGGCAACCTGTGCTAGTGCTTTGACCATCTTCACATTAGAAAAGCATTTTCTTGCATTCAGATTGAATCTTGTGGGTTTCAGTTTGCGCCCATTGCCTCTTGTCCTGTCACTGAATGCCACTGAGAAGAGCCTGGCTCTGCCTTCTTTACACCTTCCTTTCAGATATTTGTACACACGGATAAGATCCCCCAAGCCTTCTCTTCTCCAGGCTGAACACTCCCAGCTCTCTTAGCCTCTCCTTGTACGAGACATGTTCCAGCCCTCTCAATCACCTTCATGGCACTACACTGGATTCGCTCCAGTAAGTCCGTATCTTTCTTGTACCTTGACCTGGACACAGCCCCAACCTGGACCCAGCACTCCAGATGTCTCACCAGTACTGAATACAGAGGAAGGATCACTGCCCTCGACCTGCTGGCAATGCTCTTCCTAATGCAGCCCAGGATACCATTGCAGCCTTCTTTGCTGCAAGGGCACATTGCTGCCTCATGATCAGCTTGGTGTCCACCAGGACCCCCAGGTCCTCCCCTTGCAAGCTCCTTTCCAGCTGGTGGGCTGGCGTTACTCCTCCCCAGGGGCACGACTTTGCTCTTCTCTTTGTTGAACTTAGAATCATAGAATCATTAAGGTTGGAAGAGACCTCTAAGATCATCGAGTCCAACTGTCAACCCAACACCACCA